AGGCAAATATCGATATCAAGATTCATCTGAAAACAGTTTTCAGCGAATATTTCGAAGTAAGTTATACTAGTCATAATTACACCTTGCTTAGCACGCTTGCTCAGCCCCATCAGTCAAGAGTCATCAGTGCCCTATAAAAGCTGACGAGTTCGAGAAGCTGCTGCTAGAGACGGGGCCATACTATTGTACCATGGGCGTACTCGATATTAGAACCAAATTGTTAGAATTTAAAACAAAAACGTTAATTTTACAATGTCAGACATTGTAAACTATCGGCATAAATCGATTTAGGCCACGTTGTTTTTAAAGATTCCACCCATTTGAAACGTATATAAACGAATCTGTGAATGGGATTGGTAGCGCTCGTGAATTGTATTATTTGCAGGTGCAGATTATCGAGCAAATTTAATGGGCATAGATAATACAAGGAAATTCTGTCTGTTGGTTTACAAATGTTCAAATAATCACAACTCAAAGCGATAAGTATTTGAATATCGCAACGATCTGATAATGTCCTCGTACCGGAGCAATTACTTGAAATGTCGCGGGTTTTTGACGCACTCTACAACATAATTCATAAACCGCGATACGTCCCAAAGGTTCTTATGAAACCAAGTATTGAACGACACTTTTACGTGAGGGCCAACTCATGCATATATATATGTGAATATACCTTATGTATACCTTATCTATATCTATTGATGATATTAATGATATCGGGGGAAATTATCAGTGTTATTGAATGATAGAAAAAAAATGAGAAATTTGCCTACACATGATAAATACCTGATCCTATTTCCAGTCAATAGAAAATGTAGTTCTTTTACATGTGGCTTCAAATTTCGATCAAATATTTTGCCACAGCATACGTTATCATGATTTATGTAGATCTTACAATCCACCATCAATCTTCTTCAATGACAAAAATTGGTAAAATAAAAGCATAGTGGTAAATTGTGTCATATTCAATGCCAATATAAAAAGTTCCAGATTATTTTGATGCGTTTTGCATGATTTATGGTATTTCACCTTAATCAAAAAGTCTCAAACAAAGAGAAAAAATGATTCATGATTTTCCATCATATAACTTAATTTTTAGCAAATGGAAATGAGGTACAAATGAAATTTTTATGTTTTGAATCACGTGTCAAATTTATGCATAAATGTCCTCAACTCATTATTTGAAAGATAGGGCAAAAATTTGATCATGAAACGTGTAATATTCTACTTTGTGAATGAATAAATAACAATAGCATTGTTCTGTTTTGAAATGTTTTAAATATAATCGTGTAACTTGAAACTGACCCTTTCCAAAATAATTGCCTGCAATGGGTGGTCGAATACATTTTTTTTGTATTCTTTCAAGTTGCTTGTACCGTTGAATAAACGCCAGTAACCACAAAATACATTCCTGAATTTTGTTATTTTCGAGTCAAGCTACCTAGATTTAGCAAATTATCTACCATCTCAATCATGAAAGAGTCGCGTTAAAATTCCCGTAAAATTTGTATCCCACATTAGATTAACCTTTGACAATAAATATATATTTAAAAACAGTTAATGACGTCACAAAGTCACCTCCAGTGGCAAAAACTCGTGAGAACGCAGTAAATTTTATCCGTATAGGATTTCGTAATACGAAATGGAAAACAGGTTACGTTTTTACTATTGCTACATCATAAGTAGACCATTCATGGGTGCGTTTATAAAACGTCGTATGTATCCCATCGACAACGGGAGCTGCGTTATCCCATAATCTTTAAAATATTATTCTAAGCCGATAAATACAGATAAAACTTCAAACTTTGGGAATCCATTGCATATGTGCGGGATACAAATGTCTATGATATGAATCGAATGACACTAAAAATCGACTAGTAGGACTATTCCTTGTAGCTAAAACGGCGTCGGTATGACTGCCCACATGAATTGCTCAAAAATGGGGATTATATCTCATTATCAACGTCACAGCGCCTCAGAGAATTAAAAATATGATTAAGAGATTTTTGGATATGAACATTTTGTAACTGAAGCTTCCAAGAAAATAATAATGCCTTTTATGACAGGGATCATAAAAGGAGAATTTCGATTTTTAATATTTTAAAAACAAATTTCTGGGCCCTCGCTCAAATATGCTTGGATTGAAGCAATGGAAGCCATGGTTATGGTATACTTTTGAAATTGAACATAGAAGAAGAGGGTTTATGTGTATCGGTTATGCTTTTATCGAAATGATATAATGTTGCTATGTTTATTTTTGACACGACGTCTGAAAATTTACATGTTTTTGCCGGTATTCAAAACAAACATTCATTTCACGCATTGTTGAACAACTTCCACCGAATACAATCAGGAAATGATGTTGACCCCTTCGGGGTCACACTCATTTTATACTTTCGAGAAATTGACATAGTAATAAGTGAGAGTATGATACTGTTAACAAATGTATTTTCTCGGCACTTTACACATAAGTCACACAAACACCGCAAATTCTAATTCAAACCCTTATATATATATATGATTATATCTTGTTTGCCAATTCACAAATCCCAATGCCGCGAACGGTTTCAATGTCCGATTGAGCGTGCTTTTCGTTTGGTACCCAAGTTCAATTATGTTAATGGTAAATGCTGCAATTTCTATTTCATCTCAGCCAAGATGTTACATTAAACATTGTACTTGATTAGAGTAGCATACACATCTTGTATAGATGCTCTAATTTACAGAGCAGGCTATGAAAATAGCGATAGGGACTATAGCCATTCTTATTTGCAACTGAAAATGGTGTTGGATATGGCACACAATGACTGTAAATACTCAGTCGGGGTAACCAGGATTGCTGGAAATGACTGAAATGATTACCCAACAAACATTGCCAGATTTCAATACGGCTTTTATGCGACCCAAAGAAAAATATTCGTGTATATCAGACAACTTTCGGTTTTGTTTCCCTTTCCCGGAAATCGAAGTTCACGAATACAATTTCACGGGTTAAAATACACTACTGAACACCTTCAATCCCCGCGTAGGGTCGTTTCACCAATTTCATACAGATGTAAATACATCACGTACAACTTGAACTAGCTACACTTGGAACGAAACGGATATTACAGAATTACTTTGTATTTATTAGGAGTAAGCGCATTTTATACTATATTATTTTTGAAAATTATTTCGGAAATAGGAAAATTAGTATATATACTTTTTATTTCATGCATATTTCAACCTTGTTGTCGTATTTGTTTTGATTACATCCTCAGAGCGAATGAATCAAATTTTGGTACACGGCCTATTTATATGTGCAAAGAAATTCTTCAGTTTTCGTTATTTGAACTCAAATACATATTGTTGGGCTGTAAGTTTTCAGGAAACGTGGAAAAAGATGGTTTAATCTAAAACTTGTTTCAATTGCTTCATATGATGAGACGAGCTAAATCGAATAAACAAATTCAGAGCGTTTATATTTGGTTGAAAATTAACTAAATACTTTAAATTTTTTCTGATTATTTGTACCACTGTAGACGTAAGATTATAAATCAATTACCTTCAATTATGTTATGGGATTTATGGTTGAAAATAATCCTCAGACTGCAAAACCTAAGTAGCGTTATTTTGTTTTGAAATGTAATCAGGGGCGAATCAAAACATTTTGCGCATCTAAGAACACAACAAATGAGTTGAGATTATATCTTGAAATACATACACTCGAATTACACAAAAACGTTGCGCCTTTTATATGCGATGGAAGAATGAACACAAACTCGCATAATTTTGTTAATCTTCGCTTCAAGGACTCATGCATTATAGCCTAAATGTGTTTATGAAATGCATACGTTTTTACAATTGACATTTGGAAATAAACTGTGCATATTTAAAACTATAATATTGTATATAATATCATATAAATTTTGCAAAAATAAAAACACTTTTTAACTATCTTTTTCATCTTTTTCAAAAAGAAGTGACAATCAAATGTTTACCGGACAACATCGTCATGCCTGGAAAATAAGAATAGTGTAACTAATGAGACGAATAGCGCTAATTGCTTGAACTGCTTTACTAAACTTTTGTAATTGTGTGTGGGGGGGGGGGGGGGGGAGAGGCATAAAACGACAGTGAAGTCGATATAACGACAGTGAAGTCGATGCGTATAGAATATACGAAAACGTTTGCATATTATGAAAGTCATAAGAGTGTAATCCGGTTTGCATGCAAAAATTTGATAATTGCCTCAATTCGAGACGTTGTTATTGGGTCTATAACAACTCAAGAAGAAGCAATTAGATGTATATTCAGAAAAATATTGTAACAATTATGTTGCAATTTTTTTTAATTCAACTGTATTTGAAGTGAATCAAACAAAATGGTCGCTGCTGTATATCAGTCGTCGTCTAGAATAATTCATTCCCTGTATTTCAATTTTATTGTAATACTATAGAAGAGAAACTGATCGACTTTTTGCTTACACTGTCATACTATTCTAAGGAAAATGAATATTGTAATAAATATGGTACATTCAGAAATGCGTGGTCAATGTATAGTTTTGCTATCGTAGCATGTTTGGGTTAATGTTGTCCGAAAGTATTTGCGTCCTGTGGCCGGAATTTGTCGTAACATTTCGGATTTTTTCTCGCAGTATCGACGAGAACTTTCGAGAGAAAAGCAAGAAAAAATTTCACAAATGACCGCTACCATTACAAACAAAATGTGCTTTCTTGGTGCGATGATGATTACTTGTTGACCACAGCTTTCCATGTGAACGTAAGCTAAAACAAGATAAAACAATATTTAAGTTGGATATCCAAGAGGAATAAATGTTCTCACAATACTATTTATACGCTTGTACAACCCATCTTATTCTAACAATGATTTCAATAATATTGAGATGCTGTTGGAATATTTCTCAATATAGATTTTTATTAGATTTATTCGTTCATAAACTTAATGATGATATTTCGATAATTCACTTTGTTCCTTTATACTTCATATTCAGTAAATTTAGCTAGAGTTCATTACACTACATGGGGACAAACGAAGAAGACGTAAAAATACAACAGTAATTCCAGGTCGGGAATGTCGTCTCTGTGCTCCGTGAAAGAAAATTTTAATTCAGCACGTAATACAGATTCAGCTTGCAGTGATTCAGAGACTGAGACAACTGAAGAACAAACTAACGTTGGAAATCCCTCTCAGCCGAAAGAGAACAAAACCGATTCTGCAATCAGTTGTATATCGAAACAAACTTATTCGAGTTTAGGAGGATTTGACAGACCAGTAAAGTTCCCGTTTCTATCGCCTGTACGCGACTTCCACCCGTCTACGTTTTTTGCAGCCAGGCCTACTCGCGAACCCCAAATGGCAGCTGGAGCAACATTACCTGGATTGCCAGGAGCCTGGCCTGCTATATTTGGGCGCAATGCAGCACATGGAATCAACGATATTTCTGCTAGAAATTTCATTCCGACGAACGGATTTAGAAATGCTATTTCGCCATCAGAAACTATCAATCCCAGCTTATTGGAATTTACGACCTCGTTGTATGCTTCATATGGTGAAGCTATGCGAGAACTAATAGAACGAAGTAAAATGCCTTTGACTGATGCCGTTGCTGCCAGAGCGGCAGCCGCCGCTGCCGCCGCCTCGTTACATTTTGGCAATCCTTTTCAGCGCTTTGCTGTTGCCAAATATCCAGGCTCGATGAATTTAATCGAATCCCGCGGGACGGGATTGCACCCTGTTCGGCATCGACCACCAGTACCTCTCGAAATCTTTTCTGGGTTTTTTGACCCAAATATGCTATTTAATAGTTCCGCACGCTCACCAAGTAATTTTCAACTTCCGCAACAGCTTTTGAGTCCAGTGGAAGCATCTCGCAAAGAGTCACCGGACAGCGAACCAAGCCTTGCAGATAAACTGAAAAATGGTGGCAGTCGGAATAAAATGGAATCTTCCCCTACCCGCAATGAGTGCTTTCCGTCTGTTCCACAAAATATCTTTACGAAACCCATTCACTCGGAGGTTTATTCAAACTCACTTCCAGTACAGTCGTCTGGACTTCTACCTTTCGGAATTCCTCCAAATCCAGTCAATTTTTTCAATTTACCATCCTTGCTTCGATCTCAACCATCAAATTTTTTTCATCAACAAACGGACGCAAACAGGAAGGCTGAATTTCGCTCTCCAAGCGTATTATTGGGGAAAAGACGTGAACAATTCACCAGGCCAAGAGGGAGTGCAAGACCCAAAAAACGGTATATTTGCAAATATTGCGGGAGAGAATTTACAAAATCATATAATTTGTTGATCCACGAAAGAACACATACGGATGAAAGGCCTTATAGTTGTGAAATTTGTAACAAAGCTTTTAGAAGACAAGATCACTTGAGGGATCACAGGTAACGTAAACAATTTTTGAGTTGTTTTCTTTGATTTACTTCAAAAGATGAAATAAAAATCTTGAAATCTTCAAACACATTTTCGGAATCAAAGTTTGATATAATAAAATATACAAATTGATGAAATATCCGATTGTTAATAAATTAAATCGAGGTAAATCATAAAGACATTTTGGTGAACCAATGTTGATGAAATTCTTCCTTTTCGGTCAACTCTTCCTTAATAGTAACTTAATTGCACGTATTTTCTTATTTTTTGTCAGAGAAACATACGACAAAAAACAAAAACGAATCTCATCGTCACTTATAAAAAAAAACAGCACGTACCGCCATTTTACTTTTGTACACTGCGTTGTTTATTCAGTGATAATTTTACCTCTTTTCACGTCGTTTCAGATATATTCATAGCAAAGAAAAACCATTTCGATGTGAACAGTGCGGAAAAGGATTTTGTCAGTCAAGAACTTTGGCGGTTCATAAAACATTACATTTAAAGGTAAATTCATAAGCATGAAAGAATTATACGAAAATAAAATAAAAATAATTATTTTCAAATAATGATTTTAGAAAGTTTTACTATCAAAGTTCAATTTATCGTTTTTCAAGATATCACAATTTCCCTAATAAGTCACATTAGCAATCTCTACAATCCACAAAACTTGCCATCCATAGATTCTGAATGTGCTATCGTCTAGAGATATTAATTAATTAAGCGAATATATCCGCATTTTTGTAACCGTTCTCAAAATAACAATACTGATTCGATTTGGAAATCATCAAATTCGCCATGTTTTTGTGCAAATAGGTTTTATGATTTTGGACAGTTTTTTCACTAATATATATCATATATTATATACTAATATAATCACCTGTTCCAGGAATCACCATACAGATGCTCAACATGTGGTCGCACATTTAATCAACGAAGTAATTTGAAGACTCATCTGCTAACTCACACCCCGATCAAGCCTTATGAATGCAACAGATGTAGGTAAGTTATGGTTTTATTTTAATAAATAAATGTAGTCAATCATCAATGTCTCTTTAACGGATATTTCTTTCTTATGTTCCAATGTGCAGTGGTTAAAAACACGTGCAATAAAATTAAAATCTCTTTGAAATTACTGTTTCGCAACCCCATTTGTAGATACTTTTTATAGTTGCATAAACACATTTCGCAATTTCATAACTTCATTAATCTTGTCAATATATACCGTATATATGCTTTATTAATCGTAAACAAAAACAGTAAAATGAATAATATCTGCCGGAAAGCTAGCACCGGTGTAACTCATACAATGAAAGTTAAACTAAACTTTATCTGTTTATTCAACAGAAAAGTGTTCAGGAGAAACTGCGATTTAAAACGCCACACTTCGACGCATTGCGATAGTTTAGTGTCGGGAGTGGATGGCACAGTGGGAATTCATTCCACCCAGTATCCAGAATATGAAGTTCCAAACGACGATATCATGCCCGAGGGACAAAAAAGTGAAACACCAAAATCAAACGCTTCATCAGAAGATCAAGACTCGGGAGAGAAAAAATTGCAGAATTGTGACGAACAATGCTCTTCGAGTCAGACATATCTCACGGCGGAAAAGAACTTCTCGCCTTCTCTGAAAACACTACTGGTTGGAACCAATTCAACAATGTAATGGTAACAACTTACAACAATCAGATTTCCATGGCCTTCAATTCGTAACGTCAAAAATAAAAACTTATTGAAACATTCAGAGCAATAATTATCATTGAATGTTAGCTATAGCAGTTTACGATATAGGTATTACGACCGAATATTATAATTGTTCCATTTATATTTTATTCAAGCAAGTTAGACATATGTAATCATTAAAATGTTGCATTGTTTTTGCCATGAGAAAAGAATTATTATTTTTAAAATGAATTTATTACCTAGAAAATATTACATTGGAATAATATTGACAAGGCACGCAACTATATGCCATTAATATTTTCTTTAAGCGAGTTGGAAATAGGGAATCACTATAATGGTGGAAAATGTAAGAGAAATCTTATTGTTTTTTTGTGTGATTCAATATTTATTCTATTAGATAAAATATTTAAATTCCATTGAAATAATTTGAACCTGACATACGACTGCATGGTTTTCATTTTTGTTTCGTTGGTTGGTGCGTTTTTACAATTTATTTCTTTAGTTCAATGTTTGCACGAGACTCTATTTGTCAGCACTGTTTATTGCAGCACAAATCTTTTGTACATTTTAATTTAAAGACGCAAAGTTCAAGATGTTGTGGTAGTTTAGTTTTTAATGCATATTAATTTCAATTTGCAACAAAATTAAAAAAAAAACGTCTGCAGATACGTGTCACTTTTGAGTATAGCTGGGCATTTTCGAATACCTGATGATTTCAGAATCGAATCGAATAATTTTTTTTGAATCGAATATCGAAGACTTGGAAGATATCCAACCATATGTGACTTTTCATTGTGATGGGTCCTCGAGGCACATAAATTACACAAAAACCTAAAATTCATCAATCAGACATTTCGCTGAGAGTTGAAAAAGAAGAAAGCTGAAAAAGAAAAGAGTCATATGTCAGAATATCATCATAAAAATATGGCTTTAATAAAAAAAATTGAGAAAATCACCACGACGTCCTATCATGAGTTTGGCGGGATCATTTTGTTACTTCAAAGAACAATATGTGAGGAAGGTCAAAAACAAACGTATTATATATATATATTATATACTAATTCATAAATTGGTATACAACGGAAATCTGTAACGGTAACGCAATTACAACATAAATAAGAAAACGCCTAGAAATATTGTGAAATAATAATTTAACCGGCAAAGTATAACTATTTTTTTTATTTAAAAGTTCAATAGACACTTTCAAATAATTCTAAATTATTTTACGGTGGTTAGCTCATAACAAGACACAAAAGTGAAACAAATATTTTGAGATATGTTGTGCGTTAATGAGGAAGCCAAACAGCGATTATCAAATTATTTTCGCAGGTCTATACAATCTGCAAACAGATAATAGGGGTAATTGACCATGTACAACAAACCTCCTGCTTCGACTTACGCACAAAAGTAGGTCTTGGATTCTTGCTCCTGCCCAATTTCAATCGTTTACTGCATTCTGTTTCAATATCTTAAAACATTCCATGCGTCTTTCAATGTAAAGTATCATCAGCGTGACGCAATATCAGATAAACTATTTTCATGTCTACCAACGTTTGCATATGCATAGTATTAAACAACCATGTTTCCGTGTCAGACCCCAGGAATGATGTTTGAATCGAAATTAATTTGTTCTTTGTCCAGTTCGAAGCAGTGGTACTAACTGGCATTGTTCAATCTATTATTTGTTCTGACGCTTGCTTTGATTTTGGATACACAGTAAATCCACCTCATATGTGTCTAAGAACCCATTCGCTTCTCTATATGTTCTTCAAGGTACATGTGTAGTCACATGCAATGTTTTATTTGCTTTTCATGAGTCCACTGCAGCACTCAGACATCAGATGAATTCACATCTATCACCAAGTAGGGATTAGAGTGGAGTTTGAAAGATACAATAATAGTAGATCAACCCACACATTGTATTTCACTGAATTGCATTTCAGCATGATCAAAAGATATATCACATGAAAATTTTGAGCTTTATTTACACCGTGATTCTGCCACATTTATTGATTTAACAATCCGTATCGATAATTGTGAACCAATTCCGAGTAGTTCAAATTGTAGTTAATTTGCTAGAACGCACTGAGGCGATATTGGAATTGTGCGTTTTTTATTGAAAATTGTTCATATAATATATTGAAATTTTTATTGAAACTGGCTGTTGTGAAATCATACTCAGTGTACAAATTCACCTTAATTATGAGAAAACTGGGTTCATTGGGCCGTAGTTAGGCATAAAGAAGAGTGTTTTCAGCGGATATACAAACGTCGAATTTCCGTGTCTGAGTGAGTATTGATATCATCTTATCTGGGGGAAGTATTCTGGTTTCTTTTTCATTATTTAAAGTTGACCTTAAGCTTTTTAAGATAATGTCAAAATGCATGTTCTGTCGGCACAAAACTTGCCTACTGTTTTGGGCGACTGTCGTCAATGTTTCGGGATTGAAATCCATCTATTGATCACCTATTTCATGTGTGGCGAATTTTTTCTTGGAATTATTTTTAAGTAGTAGTCACCATAAACAAGTTTACTGACGTAAGAAGTTGTTTTAATTTAATTTTTATTTACTTTTCCGAGATTTTTGACGATCAACCGCATACTGTCTTGTTTTTCTAGAAATTGAATAGCCACGAAGTTAAATACAAAACGGTGCATTTTTTAACAGACTCAAATAATGCCATGAAGTGCCAGTGAAATACTCGAAATAAAGAAAAACAGTCATAACACCATTACAAAAAATATGTTTCGGCAAGTAAGATTTGCTGCCAACAAACAAAATAGTTCCCAGTATATAACAAACTCATCGCGGTGACACTCAGATCTTTTCAACCCCTGAGCCACCGAGTTCATTCTCCTAAATCTTAACAACCAGCATCAAAGACGGGTTCATGTAATTTGCGACTAAATGATGTAAATATTGTAGCGAAATAAAATGCATTCTCACTCGAACCAAGAAGCATATCCTCTTTCAACATATTTACTATTTGGAAAACAAATTTATTGGTTTTGTTGAATTTGGATGAATACGGTGCTTGGTACATACTTGGACCTGATAGGTAGTTTGGAATTTACAAAATATTATAGTTGATTACCCAGGTCCTTCAGCCAGTCTATACTGTCGCAAATTGAACGTTTGTTTACACCAAAATACACGGAAGAATTCGCCGCAAATAGAAAACGACTTGACCTTGGTAAAAAAGTTAAAACAACATGTTATAGACAAGGAGCCCAAACGGCTTCTTTTCCCAAAACAAACTCAACAACGAATTCACTTGTATATCAAATCAGGGCGACCTTAAACTTTATGAGGCATGAAATTAGGTTCCCGCTGCGTAATTCTCAGAAGCATATTTTTTATCGCCGAAAGATGTAGGATTTTTGAACTAGGGCGTGTCGAGAGCAGTTGGGTGCTGTTGTTGAGTGTTGCTTCTGCCTTGTATCTATTTCGGATGAATATGACTGACTCATAATCTATAGTCTTAACTAATAACAAAGTATAAAATTAATTCACTAGCTTTTCCGAACGGCATTTTATCCCAAGAAAGAATTGTATGAGTTGTCACAATGCATCTAGGGTCATGAGGTGTAGTCTATCGATAAAGCACTCTACCGGTAGTACGCTATTCTGGTAAGGTGCCTTACCGGTAGCGTATTCGTCCGCAGAATTTGTAACCTATCGGTAGTGTATACGGTAGTCGGAGTTTAATGTACTGTATATTCATTCCATATAAAATACAATACAGAAAGATTAACATCTTCACGACGTATAAAATCAGCGCGGTGCCATGTACATGTGAGTTACTGTAACTTATACAATTCAACAACAATACGTGATGTTTCCTTAAAAAACTGACAAAAGAATTGACATTTTTCTGTGAAGATGTTCCAAAGTATTCATATATTTATAAATGGGTTAAATTGGCGAAACGAACTACCAGCATATATTTCAGTAAACAATTTTAATGACCACCCTTGGTGTTGCGACATTGGAGATTTGTGTCATGAAAAATACTTCATCAAAACTATTCACCGCGGACTAGGTCAAAAAACAAGTCGTCATTCTACAACTCGAAAATGTAATCGTAACTGTTGAATGGCGTAAGACAAAAGATAACAATGATGTAAAACCTAATATCGTGCACGTAATAAAATATAAAGATTGGTAACAAGATGCCTAAACTTTTGGTTCATACATCGTCTTATATTTCTCACGAGACAACACAAAAGATCATTATTTCATTCGAGACACCTAACTGGGAAACATAAGCGGTATAAATTGTTATCACCTTGCTGTATCAAACCAAAATTGCAGTAGTAATAGGAATATGCGCATCACATGGTTATTCAATACTTCATAGAATGTGTAATCATGATCGAAGATATCTTTGCAATTTGATACGAAATTGTCCGCGTTTTTTTATTGTACTGTCAGTATGCCATTGCAGCAATAGCCTAAGGTAGCTAGTTGTCTGGATACAAAATATTAAAAGCACCGTTCTTCCATAATCCTCTGGAGATATGAAAGTAGTGATATTAAATAAATTAAATATATATAAAATCCATACCAATCGTATGATTTTCATATCTTTTAGACGCACGTAGAATGTTGTTCACGAGACGTTGTCAAGTTACCAATTCGCACTAAGAGCGTAATCAAAATACTTTAAGAAGCATCAACAAATATTGATTCAACAACCAATGCCGAATAAATGGGACGGGCTATTGGGTCTTGGGTAGATAGCTGTCACTGCTAGTGGCTTGCCCTGGCCCAACATCTTAATCGTCAAACTCAATTTCTTGAATTTATGAGTAACACATCATGGAGTTACAAAGCAGAATTTACATGGGAATTTGAATGCTCGTGAATTTTATCAATTTTTCTCGAGCAATTTTTTTTCAAAATTTTTGTGGATTGTTATTTACCTGTGATGCAATTACATAATTGCATGTATTATCAACCGCCGTTTTCACTCTACTCCTGTCAGTTACGCAGATGTCAACCGCGCATGTTTACAAAACATGTTTTCCGTCTATCAGCTGGATCTATAGGCTTTGTCAATACGGCAGTACCTTTTAAAGGGTATAGCCTACGCCTAGTCCATTACCAGATAAAAATCGTTATTCCCGTCCAAGATTTTATTCCAAAGTCATCATATCTGTGAAGTCATCAAAGAATAATAAGTAACAGCAGCCACGAAAGTGCTAGATTATCTGTCAATTACGTGCCTCATGATATGACTAATAGACGACAACACTGCGGCATAACCCCTGACCCTTTGACCTTCGGCACGCTCATAGAGATTTACAAAATCTACTCTTGTGTATAGTTCGCTATGAAATGCAAATGCTAAGGGAGCATATATTTACCGATTCCATGTACTTACACATAATGTTACAGTGATACACAATTTTGAGCCTCTTTCCTGTAGTCCTACTCAAGTGAATTTCAAAATTTTATTTCAAATAAATTTTGTAACCAAACTTTTTTATTTGTAACTTTGTCTGGATATTTCATATATATACAATAGTTTTGAGAAAATTAGAGACTCATTTGAAATTCATATTTTCGGAGACAATGCTGTCAAGATTAGTTAGTTTAGTTGTTAAACTCAAAAATAATGAGAATAATGTATATTTAATAAATTTTCCGGGTAATAAACCGTGAATAGAAATTAAACCGAACCTCTGAACATGATATTGCTAGTTTTCGATATTCGCTAATGATTTGATGCTTTTTTGCGAATTGTTATATATAAGTCTTTTCATCAAAGGTGACTTTGACTAGATTCGTATTGGTATATATACCAATATTATATATAATAGATAATTTAATATCAATTTTTTTCATCTTTTAGTTTAACTTCAAGGTTTAAAGTTTCTGATCTGAATCTGTATTTTCGAATTAATTTATTTTTAAATGCAATTTCTAGAATTTCAATTCACTAATGATCATTCATTCTTTTTACTTTTTGTTAGCCATGGTTAAAATGATCTAATATTTTTAAATTGAAAAATGAAAAGTACGATATTAAATTAACCCCAAAACTGGATGAAATAAATCGAATCATATTAAATTCTTTGTCGTTAATCGAGTTATTAGTTCTGTAACAGTCATCTAATAGACTTGCTTTAGAAAAAAAAATGTTATCGTGATATCATATATATAAATATAAAAATACTCATTTGAATAATTTTAATCCCGTTTTAAAAAACATTCATGAATCTATTCAGGGCACCGCATTAAAGTTCTGATAATTCAAATTTCACAAATTTCAGGTAAAAATAATGTTCAAACTCATTAAAGTGTGTGTTTTAGTGAAGATATGATCGTATAATTTTCGCACAAGAAAAACTTTTTTGTTGTGATGGCTTATTATAGCCGTGGGTTGTTATCTTACGTCGATAGTATAGTATGGTAATTTATTTGGATTCGAAGCAATTATGAGCTTTTGATAACCGCTTGACCATCGAAAAACCATTCTTGAGTAACATTTATTGTAATATCCTCAGTATCACAAAGGAAATCATATAATAAAGACCTTTCAATCGTATTTATTATAGTTTGATGTATTGTATCACATGGATTTTTCTATTTTTATGCTGAGATATTTAGTAATGTACTTACTTTTGCGTATTGATGATGTATATATAGTATCAGGATAATCCATAAGGCATGGCACCCGGTAAAATATAATAGTTTTTACAAAGCTTGTCAGTTTCTTCCAAATATTCGAACTATGGTCTGATTCTTTTTTTAATAAAGTTTTTTATTCTTTTTTATCAAAAAAATCCTTAAGATGTTTCAAACTTGGCCTCGCAGAAGTTTTTCGCAATGGCCTAAAGCCGCAAAAGTTGAAAAACGCACGCGCATAAGAGCCTCAGTGCCCATAACACCCCGTGCTATCAGGTTCATTTAATAGTGTTCTCTAAAGACAGTTCCGATTCAAAACTGCAAAATAATTACTTTGTATTTCAACATACCATGTGAATGTGTCAATTCAATAAATATATTTTTCTGTGAAAAGAAAGTGTTGAAACATATATATTTACTACTGTCTTCAGAGATTGCTACTTTGTTATTCCCGCCTGCCGTTCACGTAGGCGTGACATTCATTCGCTTTGTCATCCGTGTAACTCTATTACACGGTGATACAGGTTAAATAAACAAAAATTTGTCTTGAAAGATGTAAACTTGCGCGAAAATTACCTTTCTTCGGCAAGAATCAACTGAGCAGGTGACAATTCACCAAACATCAAGCGAGGACCAGTGATTTTCGAAGTTTACACCTCATAATGCGTCGTGTCCTCATAATTAAAGAAAATATACATCTATCATTCATTCAAACTAAGTTTGATGTTCGATCGAAAATGCCGGCAAAGTTCTTTGACGTGGCAACTCTCTTGATATTATCTTGACATTGACATCAAAGGACAGAGATTATAAGCTAGAGACGGTAGGATCTTACAAAACACATTTAAGGCTACTTTTGTTTGTTTTCTTTTTGCAATCTATTAATGTTAATCTTCTTTTAGTTCAATGAAGCGAAGTGTACGTTAAACGAAATGTGCGTCGCCGCCATATTGGATATCCGAGACTTTGTCGTAAATCGACCGGGATGTGAAAGCAACAGCCATTTTGTTTGTCTCCCAATTTTATTTAGCTTTCTGTTATCTCATAATCACATTTGAAGTTATGTCATTCATATTACAATTCTTGGATTCGAAATTACTTTAAGAGAAGCTTAAACAAAAGGGTTTGTATTTGTTAACCTTAAGACAGTTAATTCCAAATTAACAAAATTTGCACACTATTTCTGATTAAAGTAATTTGAATCACAATCGATAATGTGAACGAAAATATCATGTTTTTATAACGGAAAACGGAAAATCGAATATTGTCAAACTATCTGTACTTTTCCTTTTTAATTTTAAATTAATTTCTTAGGCGAACCACTATTATTAGCACCAGACAAAAAGCGTAACAGACTGAGTTTTGTCTTAAGTAAGCTCATTAGATCAACACTAAATTATACGACAAACAACGAATTATAGCCTTTTCCGGTAATTATACCCTAAATAGTATTATGAAATTCTTTGCGTGCGCTTGAATTTGTGTGTTTGAACTACATAATCTTGTTTAATTATCTTTCTCATATTGGTTGAAAAGATTACTAATTTTCTCAAATTATTAGCTGGTGGTCCAATCTACTAGAATAATATGTGTAAACTATTCATTAATCATTGTTGCCAAACAAACAGAACAATTTGTTCAAAATATTAAAACATTTTTTCCAAATTATTCGCCCACAGAGCAATTCGCTTTTTGTGTATGTGTGTTAAAATCCAATCACATAAAATATAAATACGTGTAGATTAAAACTCATTGGTATCTTATTAAGATTGGCAGACATTGCTAAACAATGTCGATATGTTGGATCTTAATCTCGAATAGACCAAAAGCATTCTGGTTAACTCTACCGTAAAATTCGACCAGTTATATTTTAGTCGGTTTGCAAAAATTGAGAAAAAACAATTGCATACATATTCACGTTGCTAATAGCATGTTTTCGCTCTTGGAACGATTAAATTCTTCCATTACTAAAATGAATTATAGCTACATGCTATTTCAGATATAAATAATGGTAAAAAGAGATTTCTGATATCAAATTTTGTGAAAAAAGTAAAACCGCCGCCCTGTAGAGGTTCTATCACAAAGGAGATCATAGACAGAAAAAGTTATTTCCTCCGCGTATTCTTCATGTTAAACAAGCGAAACTTGTCATCTCAGAGAACATTATTCAATTATTTCGCGCGTTTGTGCAATTTATAATCTTATGATTGTATTTAATTGAGCATCATGCACAACTCTCTACTCTTTGGGTGGTTGCTCCCGCATTTCAAGTGAAAACGATCAAAAGCTTATTAGTTTGGCTCTACTGCTAAAGAACACATTCATACATGCTCCTTCTTCAATTTTCAGTAATAAATCTATAGCAGGGGTAAACAAGGTCTTCGGACCAAGGGCCGAAAATTTTGCCCACTTAGACTGGCGGGTAATGGAAGTGTGACGTAAAAAGTTGCATTTTATGAACAATATATACAGTGTTGCAAAAAAAGTGGGAAACAATAACCCGTGTGCCCAAACTAAATTCCAACAAATTCCTTAAGCTATTTTTTTTCAGCTAAATATCAAAATTTGGTTTTAGTTTAGTTCTGATTGAATTACCGAACGGGCCGGATTTGTCCCACCGGCCGTAGTTTGCCCGTGTCAGATATAGCATGAATAAGCGAACCCTTGCGCACGCTAAAAGAGCAGAAGGTTACATTTATTGCATATATTTAAAATACATTTTTTTCAATAATTGCACATATTTTCAAATATTATTCAGTCAAATTTCACTGCTAAAGAAATATGTGTTAGAATAAACAAACAGAAAAAATATTCATATGCAATTACAAATTCTAGGAAAACAATTATTGTTTTTAATATATTAGCATATTCTATTTTAGTAATCTAATTCTTACTTTTCAATTTTAATCAATCGACTCATTCTGTGCAACATGGCGGTTGACAATAGAGACAGCTCTTGAGAGACACATAGCGAAATCATTGTTCGATGGCAACAGCGCAATAGTATTTTGACTTGATAATAACAATGAAAAAAGATATAGGAGAGCGTTTACGCAAAAAAATGTTGATTTCTAATAATTCAGTGCAGCAATGAAAACTGAGATAGTATAAATTTCCACAGAACCTTGCGACAGATCTAAGAGAAAACTGTAAGCGCATTTAACATTAAACATACAGAGTGACCTCCAAAAACGGAATCTATAAATATTTTAATTACTTGAAAATGGAAGAAAACTTAATTTTGTTCACTCCTGATTGTGTATAAATAATACCCAAAGTTTCGTAAATCTAAAACGATTTATACAAAAGTCATTTTCTCTCTAGAATATATATGTTCCAAATTAACTCATTGGCGTTATAACAGACTAGCATCTGTTGCGCAAAATTGTCAATCACTCATATGGTTTTCAGCTGAATCGCACCTTCTCATGTCATGCCAATAGCACAATAATGTTTATTGAGACACAGCACTTTCGAAGGAAGTCTTATGGAGATCGTTACACTTAGTAAAGAGCGCGACATTGATAATCATTTCATGCTATAATCAATCAGTCCGTGGTGGTGCCGCAGAAATTCTGGATATCGCGTCGTCTTGGACGACGTAGAGGGATTGATAGAGGTGACCAGTGGTTCAAACATGACGAGGCGAACCCTTAAAGCTTAAACACACCAAATAACCATTGCTTCGCAGAGATAGCGCACCATCAAATTCACACATTATCGTTAACTTTTTCATGCGCGACAATACCTGGTTTTTAACTCCGCAAATAGTATAAAATTCGTGTCTTATCTCAATAATTTTATGCCACCTCAAAATTTTATTTTGAGGGTTTCGCGCAATAAAATCTCATGCATTTATGCAATCAAATATGTTGATTTAAGATGTTATACTAACAGGCAAATCACACACTCCCTTTAGCGATGCGTTTAAGATACCGGATAAACTGTCCAGTTTGTCGCCATTTTTATCACAATGGCACTGTTGTCGATTTTCACGACGAATCTGTAATTTGTATTCTTTATTAAACTTGAAACTTGTTACCGTTTTTATTTGGACTTGTTTACTACCGAATAGCCGTATGAAACGCAAGCTTGCTGGTTAACGTTTACCGGATTAACCGCGTCATTTGCAATACCACCGGAGTGTAGATTTCTGGCTGTTGCTACATCACAATATGCGGAGGAAACTTGAGCTTGGGTCTGAGCGGACGACCCTGATTGTGGTGGGAGTGTCAAACCTGGTTCGTATCTTTGAGAGTTTCTGAGAGAATATTGCACAACCGGAATCCGAAGTGGTGCCGTGAGCTTTCTGTGCCTGTTGGACGAAAGAAATAATAGAGTTATTTTAAACGCGTAGTTACTACTACTAGCTAGAAAAAAACATTATTTTCAACTAAACTGAAGATAAGCAATCTTTACTATTGAATGCAAATATGTTATCGTCTAATTGCCTATTATTTATCTTACTAACTAAATGTGATACCGAAAACTGTATGCATAGGCCTACTTGGTGTTTCAATATATATATCATTCTTAGTATAAAAGCTCTATTTGTACCTTTTAAACATCCATCCAATTATTCCTAATGCACAAAGTAGGAGAATACCAAGGACAATTGGTATAGCATTTGAAAAGGAGCAGCTTGTTTGAGCAGTAATCGTGCTATTTCTTGGTCTGGTGGACTCGTTTGTGGTTTGGCTGTCTGCAAATGAAAAATATTTCAACATCTTAAAAAGTCAGAGAATAGGATATAACATAGTTTATTAATTAGCGTAAACAAAGGTGCATACTGCATCGATGATTCTAAATAATTGGGGCTCACGTCGCATGATCACTCAAGCTCGATTAATCCGCCGTACTATGATATTTTGAGGGTATATATATGTGTGTAGCACAACCAAACATCGAAGTCAAAGTACAAATTGTAAAATCTGCCGAATTGAGGCTGAAATCATTATATAAGGCTCGCTTCACCAATACATTTTAAATCGATAGCTTTAACAATAGCATTACATCTGATCTCTTTTACGCGTCCAATAAATTAATTCTTAGATCTAAAGTTGGAATTATGTAAAGGGCAGTAGTTGATAATATAGTCGATTTTAACAACCCGGAGCTGTCCTTTGGGTTTGCACGCATAATGTCAAACTGTCAAGTGTCAAATGAAAAATTCGGAGACACTTAAACTTTATGTTTGAAAAAAACTGCATTCTCCATTTGAAATCTAGGATGTAAAGCCACAAAATCACCTTCGTATCCACTGATGAAATTGTATTGAAGTGTGAAATCGTATAGAGAATACAACGTTATCTTTGTTGGGAGCTCGTCTACGATTCTCCATTCGTCATTCATACATTTTCCGTAATTGTTAGATTTTTCTTCATATATTTTATTGAAGTTACATATCGAAGAATTTCTTGAGTAAATATAGCAACGACGTTCAGATAAACATATTTTTCGATCTGTTGACGTAAAGTGTTTTAAGTTGTTATTAAGTTTGAATTGAACAAGGACATGAATGGCTAAAAATAAAAAAGATCGAGGTTTTCAGTTGGGACTTGGTTGAAATGGATAATAAATAAAGGGGTACATAGCGCGCGAAGTTATTTTTTGTTTTCATTTTCACTGCGTGAGGTATCGTTTCTGTTGGTAAATAAGAAAAATGCTTGCCTAAGCTACGCAAAATTTTCGCAATTCATATTATCTGAAATAGCCCTAAGACAACATTATTCATCTGTCTCGAAGAGCCCAGAACAAAATCGAAAAACCCTAGCAGCACCACTGCCAATGCAACATAGTGAGTGATTCATATAGTGTTAGCTTGAATTAAAGTCCGTTTATTATCAATTTTATTCACTGATATGCTGTTATATATATTTAATTATAGCATTACTACGATAGGTGACTTTGTGACTCGTAGTTCAATGGTTCGCCACCCATGAGAAACTGTCCTTGTTATTTTAATTTCATATAATTAGATTATGCTTGTTAAAGTACATTACTTACATAAATTGAAATTACTTTATTCAATTCTCACCTAAAATACTCATATATGAATCCGAGCAACGGTACCAAGGCCTAGAGGTTTTGGACACATACAGGAAAAGAGCACATTCTTGAATTTTTCTTCCAGTGAACGTCCATTCACAACTAACATGCGTTCTACTGTACACCATGCTGCCCTTTGACTGATTTGATGCGCGATTGAAGCATATTCTTTCCGCTGTTATACTTGGGATATCGCCTTGAAATGAGATGAAATAAATAAATTATGAGTGTTACATATTTACTTATCTACCGACCAAACTGCTGGAAAACTAAAGTATATATGTGTAAAAATGCGTATTGAACATTGATAGTTTTACAAGTTTAGTATAATGGCAAATATTCAAAAATAAAAAAACAATACTATCCCGAAGCACTTACATTGAAAAATGAGGATTACATAAACCATGATAACACACTTAAACTGGTTCATTTTTTCCAAACCGCGCATTGTTGGCGTTTGTGGAGAGTCACATCATAGTATTATGATTTCTTTATTGAACGAATAACCTGCCAGTGAAACGTACTGTAAATGAAAAGAACAATTCTTCAAGAATGATGTGTCGAACACTGCAATTAGGACAACGCTACGTAAAACGAACTCTTGATCTTGTGGAATCGCATTACCTTCTTTATTAAAATCTTATAAGACTCTTGATCTTGAATATGGCGCACAAAATTTAGTCCCAAGTCTTGTTTGCTGCTTACAAGTTACCATTACCTTATGAAATGAAGTGTGCCCTACTCCTGTCTGAATTTTTTTACTGATTTGACTAAAATTTAGACACTGCATTTTTAAAGTCTACAAAAAGATCTTAAAATTCAAAACACTTGCTCGACATGTATAGTTATAGTGCATTTCACAACCCAAGTTTATTGTGAAAGAATATAATTATAATAAAAAAGTTATTTTTGAGAAATAAGTGCCGTCTTGGTGTTTTTACAAAGTTATTATTAACGACAATTTTGCCCATTTTTCAATTGACGTTTCACTTCCTAATAAGTTGTTTTTAGCATTAAAAGTTAACGGACATATCGCTTTGGAATTGCAGATAAAAAAATGTACAATTTTGAAAACCAGCGTACCATCTTGTGCACTTAAAAATACTTTCACAACATCAAGTAAATGGCAAAGTAGAACAATGCAGATTTGAAAACATCTGTAAAAGAGAATCAAAGTCGGGAGCAAACTTTGATTGACATCATAAAAATCTGTTAATGACTCCTAAAATTATAGAATATGGCACATGATATAAAATGTTAATCGTGAATTCCACTTTGCTTTCAAGTGGTTTTCAAATTTAGGTAAAAATAATTCGAACAGTTTTCATACCGAAAATACACTTCTCTCGAGCATGTGTTTACGCACAAAAATGAATCTTTGATTAGATTTAGAGAGGATAAGATAGATAGATCAATATTGCAGCACATGAGTCCGTAACTACCAGCTACCTACTTAATCACAAGAAACTCTTGTATTAAAGCTTCTAAAATTCTATTACTCGCGAGCTTCCTCGAAAATGAGGCCAAGTTAAAAATTCCATTTGATCGAATTCCTAATAAATCCTGCCCTGGCATTGCGTACACTGCAGTGTCACCAACAAAGCGACACTAAACTCAATGCTATATCAAAGTGTCATACATACTGTACCTTAACTCTAAGTAATGCTTCTTAGATATTGTGATTGCCTGTCAGTTTCGTCTAAGACTTCCCTTCGATACAATTACTTGCTTGACTCATGCTTTCGCACGTATGAACTATTATTATTATAAAGTATTGAATAAGAGATGCTTATATGTGCAGAAATTCATTCCATTTATTTCTATAACCAGATATATATCATTAGAATTTTATATGTATAACGGATGCTTTATATAGGGAAATCAGAGATATAATAGAGAAGAATGGAATTTGTCCTTTTCCCTTTGGCATGGACATAAAGGAAATGACCACGAAACCTTTATCTCTTTGAACTCTGAATTCCCAGTACTACGCCACTCTCTCACCCTGACTGACCTCCCACGGCGTCGCATCGATTTGACTGGCAATATTTTACGAGATGTTTTGATGAGATGTGTAAGCCTATTTTCAGTCCCATCTACTAATTTTTTGTATTCTGGTAAGATTTAATACCTTTTTTCGAAATGTATCATCAATATAAGTAATATTTTGTATTTTGAGTTCAGATTGTGTCATCATTGCATCAGTTTCATATCTACGGCCGCAGATAAAACCTTTATATTCAGACGAATCTTGATCGAACATAGTAAAATTGCTAGAATATAGAGGCCATTTTATATTCGTGTGGCTTAAAATGAATGGCCAAAGTGAAATATTTGATCCTCATGCATTTATGAGGTTCCGCCGGAAACATCAAGGCTAATTATTCACCCTTGGATGTCATGAAAATTGAATAAAAAAAAACTGATAACGGGAACGCGGAAAACATGGTGGTTCCAGTAGCTCACCTGGTCAGTGTTTTACATTTTGCGGCCTCAATAGATTTTCGAAACTACTGCATATACGCTACATTCCTGATATCGCTATATTTACAATGGATTTTCAACGAAAGCTTCGTCCAGATGAAATATTGGATAGTATTCATCTATCGGAAGAAGAAAATATGGCACAATAAAGTCCAGCATTGGCGCTAAACAATGCATCCATCGATATGTTCCATCATTCCGTTTTTAGAAATCCGTATTTTGCATATCTTTATGCAATTAAAACGGCAATAACACTGCATATTGTGTGTTTTAGTCGAACAGATTTTGAGGCTAGATGTAATGCGTAAATTCCCCCGTGTATCGTTTACAAGTCCTTAGTCGCTTCACGAATACGAACTCAAGTAAATGACGTTACGAGCATGCGGGGAAAGTGTATTTCGTATGGAACGTAAGCGTGCTACGTGCCGAAGTAATTGCTTAACGTCGCTGCGTTACGGCGTAAATGTGTTAAGTCGGTATTTACGTCACCTTGACGTCGGCTCGATCTTGTGATAAACAAAATCACGAACAAAAATGCTTTTAAAATTTGAATGGTGCAACATAATTTCAATCTAATGGTATCACTTGAAAGGGTTCAGAGAGTTTTAAATTTTACGGACACAATGATGAAGTATTTGATGACTAAACAAAAATTTAAAGATATCCATGATGAAGCGTTCCACACATTTTTGTCTTAATTTCCTTTAAAATACATTCACCTACAGTATAAGTATAAAATGATTTAGTATGTAAATTTTACCGCTTCTTCTTAGCCCAATATATTTTTCACTTTGGTAATGGTTACGCATAGGAATTTAGTTAAGATATACTGCTAACCAGTGGTGGGATTCAAATTTTTTGTCAGTCGGTTCTGTTACAAACAGAACATTGACAGTAACCAGTAGTCCTAACCGGTTAGCTGATCACAGAAAATATCGTTAGACGGTTCTATAGAACCAGTGCAAACCGACTGAATTTCACCACTGCTGCTAACGACATTACAACTCCGACATTAATAATCCAAAGCGGGGCCAAACAACGATACTTTGGTTCTGTTTTTTCAATTTCTCTATTTAGAAATTTTTGAAGTTGACCAAGGCAACAATTAACACATAACTCGCATCACCCTCACTGATAAATAACCACATTTTTATTACGCAATAATAATTAGTCATGCATTGTTTCAATATGTCATTTTCAGTACAGATTAGAAAAATCATGAAATAAACTATAATTCAATAAAATAATTTTAGCATTAAAAAAGTAACCATTATTGAATGGCATCACGGTGTTCTTATATATGAGTGAACAATCCTTCAGATAACCTTTTGAACAAAAGAGATTGCCGGAATTTTAGTTGTGACGTCACGTCTGGTTGAAGTCGTCGATTTTCGCGTAGTTGCTGCAAACAAGATAAATCTATATTAAATAATATTGTCACAGGGTAGTGAATAATCTAACTTTAGAAATAAAAATGTGTACAAGTCGAGTTTCGTTCCAAATTAGCTGTCTAGCGTAATGTTTAGACAAATCCCGTTATCGCCCAGTCAAGCGCCAGCCAGCTTTACCGATTTGCTTGCAGGGTCAAAGTTCAGCAGCTTTTCACTAGAGTCGGGAATCGACGAATCGTATTCTCAAACTCTGCTAGGTGGGGTCGAAATTCTGAATTCACTGGAATCGAAATTACAGACTTTCAATGGTGATAAAATGAGTCAAAACCTTCTACTAAAACTCAAAAAACATTAGATTTACTGAGCGTTCTTTATAATCTATTAAAGAAGATCGATCGATTCTGTGGACAAGTAATTTATCGAAACTGATTCGATTACAGTCACGTCATCCCTAGCTTTGAAAAGATCATTTCACCTGGTGATCATATCGAAATCGTAAGAGAGAAACATACACGAGACTGAATTGTATCCTTGGACCAACATAGAACCGCTGGCCGTTATGAAATATATGGTTTAATTCCATTTCAAGGAACTTAAATCATGACTTTGTTGGAGTGAAAAAATATATACCTCAAAAACTGCTTGCATATCATTTGCTGCGTCTTCCGTACTTCTGTGTGGATGTGAACTGATATCATATCCAGCTGCTGAGCACATATCTTCCAATGTTGAAATATTGCTCTGGGTCAATCTCAAATATCCACAGTTCAATAGGCCCCATGCCTTCTCCGCAGTAAACGGCTCAGGGCTTTGTAAATTGAATAAAAATCAATCAATCAAATCATATGTTATTATTCATTTAGGCAAACGATTACATTAGAATAAAATAAAAATAAACCAAATAAAAAACAAGCGTTCAGACGTTTTGCCCAGAATGGACTGGATAACCGCGAAATGACCATACGCACAAATAAAATAGCTGTTAAATTGGAACACTTGCACTTACTGTATCGCTTCTTCTCTTCGCAACATTGCAGCATGATCCATGGTTTCCCGTAAGGTGATGCATGAAGAATGTCTTTTACCTCCACTTCTCACTGCTTTGATACGAGCATTCACTGCTCGAGTGTGATGAAGTCGCCTCCACCTTGCCATTTCTTCTTCTAAGCCCGAAACCGCCTACATAGAATAATAAGTTTTGCTTAACCTGCTAATTTTTGAACTAAACTCATCATGGATTGCATGTTTTAAGATGCGCAAAATCAACAACCATTTGAGCGTCTGGCGAGCGCTTAATTACTTTTTAAAATATATATATATATATTTGTAAGTAAAAGGGTTAATACGAAAGAATTTATGTATTGTAGTTTTGTCCATTAAAAAGAACCATGGAGTTGGAGGAAAATTTATCATCGATTCCAAGTTGATTTTAGTTCCAACTCCGGGTTTAAGAAAAATTGTGACTCCGACTTCCGATGCGAGAAATCGAATCTTGATAACAAAAACATTCGCGCGTGCAAGTAGTAGTCTTTAATATTAAACTGTTGAGAGCGCTTGATAAACTTAATGATTTTGGAGCGTCTTTGGGAAATTCTGATTTCTTTTATCATCACTGAAATTCTGAAAATCCAACTCCAAGAAAATAAGAATTTCAACTCCGATAGTTTGGTAATATGACTCTAGCTCCAACTCCGAAAAAATTAATACGAACCTTGAGAGAATTTCGAGGAGTGAGATTAGAGAAACCGTGCCCAAGAGATGAACTTGAGAACCCGTGACTTGATTTTTTTAACGAATTAGATGATCTTGAACTAAAATGATAAGCATTATTTCAAGAAAACAGTGCCTCCTATAGTTTCGTATTAAATTGTAAATTACAGTTTTTTAAAAAATTAACCCATACTGATTTTTTGTGTGAAGGAAAAAACGCAGGTTTACGAAGTGTTTCAATTCCACTATTATGAAGAGGGTCAAGAATTGCTTGTTGGTTTATTTCTGCTGCTGCAAGTTTGTCCCACCCTGTCTGTATATGAATCTCTCGACAAATGTGAATCATTTGCTATTCCGAAATCAAAATATTGCTATCCATATTACGATACCGCCTCTTTGAGTTTGCAATATACATACCGGAGTATTTTCATGAAAACAAACGAGAAAAGACTTGCTAAGTAACACTGAAACACATACGTTAACTGTTTAGTGCTGCCAGTTTTCGATATGTTAGGCAATTGTAAACTCATAGAAGTTGACGCTGTGTCATGGTCCTCTCTATAAGTTCCCAAATCACCTGGTACACTGTGTCTCCTTGGCGTTAATACATTCTGTGCTTCTTTGATAACGTCTGAAAGCACAAACTACATACAATTGTAAATAGGCACATTCATGTATATTGGCAGAGGTTTCATACTTAGCAGCCAGAAGCAGAAGAATTTTTTTTAATTAACTGAACCCGAATCAGAGATCTTTTTTCAGCTTAAATTTTCAACAAAAAATAACCAAATTTAAACAAAAGAAAATTGCAAGTTGCCTGTACAAGGCTATTTCTGTTTCAATTTTTAAAAATTTGACTTCATTAACGTCAATAAACAAACACTTCTTTGATTTGCAGTTGGATACTCCCGTAGTATGTGTACCAGGTTAGGGTTAGGCCATAACTTTATTCCGATTTTCCTTATTTTAGTTTTATTACGAGTTCGGGACTGTCTGCGTCAGCCAAGTGAATATACCCCCTGCCCATAGTCTTCAGTCCCTTCACACAACTTGATGAAAAATGATCGAAAAATCAGTAAAGGGCATATTGGTACATTTACTTCTGGAGCGCCGGCAGTTGTCGCACGTACTAACTCGTTGGTTATGTACGCGAACACAGGTATTCTCACCACCCCCGTTAGTGCAACATTTGCATATGCGTAAAATTTCAAAATCCAAAATTCCCACTAACCATATGAAATTTTCTGGCTTACCATATGAATGGCTTTTATAAACCTAATGATAATCAAAACAACGTACTTGTTACTATGTTATCCACGGATGGCTTGGTTCTTGTCCAAAATGAACTCGTCTGGTCTTTTGCTCGCTATTTGGTCGTGATGTGCTTGGCCACTCTCCATTGTTACTTTTACTCTTCTATTTTAATTAAAAAAAACTTTCATTATTATTCGGAAACTTATTTCACAAAGCCCCTAGAACTGTTCACTGGGCGCTACAATTGAGCTGAGACATTCACTAGGTACTGTAGCGAATGTGCATTGTGTAACTATGAATTATAATGTATTTAACCCTTTCATTTTAATAGTGTGTTCCATTCCCCACAATAGGTCATTTTATTGTAGCAACACTGATTACTGATTACATGTACTGCCTTTCTCGTATCGACCAATTTGATGACGTATCGTTCCGGCTTGCCGAGAGGGCTGCATAATATTGTGTTTAGATCCACTTCTGTTTTTACTGCGTTAAGTGTGATGTGTTTTGGTTCACTCCTGATTTACTGTGTTAAGAGTTAAGTGTGTCTCAATTTTATCTGTTTTCGGAATTTGGATTGTGCATCTTCCTATAATATACAACAACGATTAGCATCAACACTGTGTGCTTATTATCGTCTGAAGGAGTCCAGATTGGAGTCACATTCCATAACGCGTGTCAAAACAATAACGCGGGAATCGAACTTAAACATATAAGGTGAAAGTCTTTATCCCATCATCATCATCATCTCATCTCTTTCTCCCTATATTTTGATGACCTCCGACGTGTAAAGACACGCAACCGCTTGGAAATTCAATTCAACAAGTTGGAAAAATCAATTCAACAACTGGAAAATCAACTTCATGATGGCAATTCAGGAATTCAACAATGAAGACAGCAGCCTTTCCAAGTAAATACCTTTTCATATTTATTCTCGAGACGTTTTCACGGACAAAGGATTCAAACGAACATTATATATTGTAATTTTACTGTAATGTGTAATTTTTATATAGGAATGCCAGATACACACTTTATGCGTTCGTTGCGTTCCGTCGCCGCTAGATTTTAGTGTTACGCATGTCAAGTACCAGACAGTCGCAACGCCTTAAACAAAAGCAAGATTCAGAAAGCAGACGCTCTGATTCAACCTCACTTAAAACTCAACCACAAAGGATAAGTGTAGCAATACAAACTACTAAAATTCGTTCACGCAAAACCACACAGTGCACAATGACATCTTCGCCTACAACTACAGAACATATTTCTTCTGAGAACACTACACCAGGATCATCAAGCTCTTCTACATCTTCAATAACTACAGAGAATGTCAGTTCTGAGAACCCTACACCGCGCTCATCCAGTTCTCCCACCTCTTCGAATACGGAGATGGTTATGTTGCCTGATAACTATATAAAATTTTTGACCTCGAACAAACGCGAGCCTATTCGGGAGCACGCTGTCAGGCAATGGATTGATAATATTACTGCTTCATTCACATATTTCGGAATCATCGATCCTGATTTTAAACTCAAATATGTAATTCAGAGTTTCACACCAGACCAGTATGCTAGAATGGAGGAGTTTATGCCAGATCGAGACACTAAAATAACGAAGGATGAATATGATAACTTTATTGACACTATCAAACAAATTTTCGAGTTGAATTTCATCGACCAAATCGAGGCGTTAGGCCCTAAATGCAAGAATATGACACCTACCCAAATATACAGCTTAATTTGTCGTACACTAGATTTTCACGCTTCAAAAAACCCGATTCCGGAGCAAATATTACGGTTTTATTTTGTTCAACTTGTACCAGAGCCAGTGGCGATTTTCGTAAGGCGACTTTTTGCAAAAAGTGGAACAAAACGCTCCATGAGTCAAATTGTAGACATGGCAGAAACATTCTGGGATACAAATTCCGCATCAGGCGTTGCTACTAATTCTAAAACAACACCACAATCTGACACAAGAGCTTATTCAGAGTTGTTGGCAGAGATGAAACAGCTTAAAACTCAGTTAGACAAGGTTACACAGGAAAAACAGCAAACCTACCGCTCAAATTACAACCGTCAGCAGAGAGGCAATGATTACCAGGACAGACCACCTCAGAGATACAACAATTTGAGAGGACCGCCTAGACGCGATCGCCAATATCGTGGTCCACCCCCGGAACTTCACGGTCCGCCTTTTCGACACAATAATGGACCGCCAATGAACATTTCTCAACAAAACACGGACCCCAATCTCTGTTACTATCACGCGACTTTTGGCGACAAAGCTTACAAATGCAAAGGTGTAGGATGTGCCATGGCTCCTCAAAATTTTCACGAAGATCGGGTCAAAGTTGTCGAAAACCCGAAAAATCTGTGCAACATCAAACTCAGCATGGCAACAACCAACTCTCTTATGTACATAATTGATGAATCGAGTCGACGTCGATTTCTTGTCGATTCTGGGTCATTTCTTTCAATTATTCCAGCTGATTTTATACCTATAAAGAAACCACTTAGTCATTCCCTTTATGCCATCAATGGTACGAAGATACCATGGTATGGGACTCGTTTGTTAACCCTTGATCTTGGAGATGGTCTTACCTACAACTTTGATTTTCAAATCGCGAAAGTGCGAACCCCAATCATTGGCATTGATTTCCTGACCAAATACAACTTATTACTCGATGTGGGTTCAGCTACATTGAAAAATCCACGCTCTCAACACTACATTAAAGGCAGGAGAACCTTTATGCCGACAATTGCTGCTTCATTCATTCACCTAGCCACGATAGTCGAGTTACAAACTTACTACGGAAATATGAAGATATTACTATTCCTAAACATACATCTGTTCGCTTTAAACACAATACAGTACATCGAATACAAACAAATGGACAATTTATTTCAGCCAAACCAAGAAGAGTACCTTTTCACTTACAAGCTTCTGTGGAACAAGAAATTAAAACTTTATTAGCCTTAGGAGATATAATTCCATGTAATTCCGTTTATAATTCTCCAGTTACCATCGTTCCAAAGCGGGGTTCTAATGCTATCAGGTAGGCTTGCACGTAATTGACAAAAATCAATTCCGTAATTACGGCCAAATCGATTACGTAATGACCCCGTAATTGCGATATTTTTTTTCACACATTTAAACCTAGCATACCAACCAATTTAATCCACTTCTATTCCGAATGGGACATCGAAGTTTGGTTTTCATATTCCCGGCAGTACCACACGCCGGAGACAGATGTTAAAGACAAATATCAAGGAGTGAATTCAAAATAATTTTATTCTGATTTTTATCTTTTGTATTAGCTTTGATTTTCCTTTATCAACTTTATCACCAAATTTTATGCGATCAATTTTATCATTACCAACACTGGTAATATATTTAAGAAACGATAGTTCACTTTTTTAAAATCGTATTGACGTATTAATACGACTTTCGTATTGAATAAAAATTCCGGGTTGCTAATTTATTAATCAACTACAAGCGTATTCTCTCGTTTGATTATACTTTCGCTTGCCTCGCGACGAAGAATTGTTATCCGACTTTACTACTTAGTTAGCATTTGATAATAATTATTGATGCCGACTTATTGACGATATTCCGAATTCCATGCTTCATTTTACATTAAATCATTTCGCGGCCTAAATGTTATAACATTATTTACGATAAATTTAGATCAAATATTAATTATTTGCGCATTATTTAAAATACCGTACTTATATGACATGCCTTCTCCGAAAATACAAAGTTATATCGCAAAACAATGCATTTTGTGACATTTATTTTGCACTCATGAAAATATTAATTTATTTTTCTAACTCAAGTCGACAATCCTATTTGCCAAGATTGACACAAGTTTGGTCGAGTGCCGGTGGTATTCAGGTCGACGATAAATCAAAATAAGTTGCCGCATTTGGTAAAGACAGGTAATCATATTTGGCCGACATATTGCGATTTGCGAGGCATTGTGAAAAACATATTGAGCAATGCCAAGTCCGGACAGATATATAACGATAAAACCGGTAACAGAACATCAAGATTTTGTAATAGAAATGGATTTCGCGCAGAATAAACACGGGAAATCCCGTCGTAATGTTGTTTCTCTGCCGTCTCAATCGCTTTACCGATGCCGAAAGGACTAAGTTGCGTTGGTTCATTACGCAATTTCTCTTCCGTCTCTTGCTGTTTGATAAGCGCGACATTAATTATCACGACATTTACAAATAGACCATGTTTTATAAGTTGATCTCTTACATTCTTCACTCATTTCACCCGAAGAAGTTGAAACCAGGTGTGTTGGCGTCCATCGGTCTCGACACAATTCTATTCCTTATTTACGGTTAATATGTACATTGGCCATCTTAGATAAGTTGATAATAGGTTAGTAAATGACGCGTTATGCCCTCCCCATCTGCCTAACAAGAGAGAGAAAAACGGCTGCGAATACCGGAACTCTAACTTCTTTTACTTAAACTTTAATTTTTTACAATCGACGGAATTGACTGCTCTGAAGAGAGCTCGTTTCAATCGCGAAAGCGCTCGACCAATAATTACGACTTTACGTAATTCGTGACTTCGCTTGCGTAATTCGAAATAATTCCGTAATTCCGTAAATTTGTAAATTACGTGCAAGCCTACTATCAGGCTGTGCCTCGATTTTCGACTTTTGAATTCAATCACGATCAAGGAAAAACACCCCGTGCCGCACCTGTACGATTTTGTCAATAAATTGCATGGCTGTCGACATTTCACTACACTTGATCTCACAAAAGCTTATAATCATATTCCTATCTTGGAATCGGATCAACCAAAAACAGCCTTTTCCTGCAACAATAAAATGTACATGTTTAAAACTCTTTGTTTCGGGCTAGCATCTGCCCCAGCGACGTTCAATTATTTCATGACCGAAGTTTTAGCGAACATCGACAATATATTTGTATTCTTCGACGATATTCTCATTGCAACCAAAAGAGAGGAAGAACATTTCAGAACACTACATCAAGTTCTAGAACGCTTACACATTTATGGACTTACTATAAATCCAGATAAATGCCATTTCAACAAATCAGAAATTAAATTCTTAGGCCATCATGTTACGCCCGAAGGAATACAACCCTTAGCCGACAAGGTGGAAGTATTGCAAAAATATCCTC